AAGGCCTGGTTCCCCCCCCCCCCCCCACAGCAGTGCACTCTGAATATTGCTTAGGGTTCTTCAGTCAGCTGCAGTTAACTTCCAAACCAGGTCAGCGGCAGGTCAGACCAAAATAGTAGTGTGGAGTGAACCGCTAATGAGCTGGGAGACGGCAGGAAAGTGCGAGATGGTGCTGATAATCTAAAGGGAAGTATGTGGAACCAGTGCAACAGCAGTAACTGAGCCATAGGGGCTCAGTAATCAACGGGGCAGCTTTACCAAAGCTTGGGTGAGACTGGATTCCCAAGCAACGCAGTTTGGTAGTAACTTCTGAAAGCTGTTTGCAATCAGTAGAGATGGCATACCTCATGATATCAAGCATATTCTGACACTTAAGTATGTTGTTGAATGCTTGGTTTTAAAATCACTGTAGTCATGCCAGGAGGATCTAATGGAGGTTAAGACCTCATTTAGACTTCCTCTAGCTGGACAAAGTGTTGCTGAAAATCCCAAACAGCTGTGGATAGCAAAAATATGTCATTTATTGTCAGAAGACAAGTTGAGGCAGTAAATTTTTACTTGAACCTTTGGAGTCAGCCATATTCACTCAAGGAGAGAAAAAAAAACTTCTGAGAGTCTTTTAAAATAAAGGTATAAAATTGAATGTATAGGCTTAATGAGGGGTCCGTTGTTGTGTTCAGGAACCTGAGAGAAACTGTGTTGGATCAAGCCACAGGCCTGTATAGTATAAGATTCTGTGTTCAAGACAAACACACACGAGCCCCTATTGCCAAGAAAGAGAGGGATTGACAAAAAAGAGAGAGAGAGAGAGAGAGAGGGAAAAAAAAGAAATTGTGTCTCCGGAAGCCCCAGGGAGGCACAATTCTCTTCTGTTACATGATATATGAGCTCCCTATGTCTTTTTGAGGAACCAAAATTGCTCTGACCCACCCTACTCTTAAGAACTGTGTCACAGGCTTCTGGTCCTCAGTGTATATATTTGATTTTCAGAACTTGCATAGGTGACTGCATTGGCACAGCCTGCCCAGTATGTCATATGCCGGCCATGGTACAAGACCTGAAGGTAAACAGACAACTGGACAACATTATCAAAATCTACAGCAAATTGCAAAGTCTGCAGGGCAGGGATTTCTCAGGTAAGCAGAATGAATGCCTCTTTTTGGACCAAGTCTGTGTATGTGTGTGTGTGTGCATGCGTGTGTCTACGTGTGCGCACAAAAAAAAAGACCTGGAAGTTTTACTGTAGAACATACCTTCTGAAATCCACTGGGGATCTTCCTTAAAATAGAGGGGGAAGACTACATTTGAACAACTATATTTGGAATTTACCTGAATCTCTACTGAATTTAGATGAAAATGTTACCATTTGAAAGCTCCTGTTGGATTGTTGCCTGACAAAATTCTTCAAAATAACATATTATCTTTGTTCCTGTTCAAAGTTAAGGCTCTGAGGGTTAGTTTTCTCATTATGTTTACTGCATATGTTTGCTGCAAGTTACCTCTCTGTGTGCCCATGTCAGTCCTATGGTTAAGTAAGATGTGCTTTCAACAGACCTTTATGTTGTAGATGTTGGGAGTAGGATGTCAAGGGACACGTTTCATAGGCAAATGAGTATACAGTTGTGCCTCGCTTTACGATTGCTCCGTATAACGATGAATCCACTTAACAATGCCTTTTTTGCTATCGCAAAAGCGAGCGCAAAACAGTGCTTCCTATGGGCAAAATCCGCTGTGCGATGATCGGTTCCCTGCTTCGGGAACTGATTTTTTGCATTATGACGATCAACGAATAGCTGATCTTCGGGTTCCAAAATGGCACCGGCTGAAGAAAATGGCCCCCCGCTGTTTTCTAGGACGGATTCCTCACTAGACAGGCACTGAAAATGGCCGCCTTTGGAAGTGAGTTTTTAGCCCTTTGGAACGCATTAACCGGGTTTTAATGGGTTTTTTATTTTCGCTTTATGATGTTTTCGCTCTACAGCGATTTCGCTGGAATGAATTAACATCGTTAAGCGAGGCACCACTGTATTAGACACCTATATCTCATGATTTCCAGACACAAAGTAACTTTCATTATTATCCTGTCTGGATACCCTAAAAAAGATACATGATAATTAGATTCCAGACTGTATAAATTCAGTTCATAGAAAAGATTTGCTGCAGAAGTTGGGATGCAGTACACCTAAGCATCTTTCGTGCTAGAGTATATGCACTTTCTCCAGGTACCCCATTACAATTGACCTCAGACCATGTCAGGTAGAACATCTGTTTACTGAGTTAGTGGTGGGGAAGCTGATATAAAGAGTGTAGTTAGAAACTTTTTTATATAACCTTGAGAGATATGCTACATCTTGTAACTTAATAGTGATATCTCTACTCATTAATAGTCCCACCCCACCCCTCCCCATTGGTCAGGAAGCTCATTGGTAGCTTTAGGGTGTGACTACACAGAAGGAAAGATGTGGATGTGTCCACTGTGAAGTCACACCCAGAAAGTCAGTTTATTTGCTTCAGCTCACCGTACAGGAGTCAGTAGAGAGAGGGGAAGAAATTGGCATTCAAAAGCCTTGTTTGCAGCTAGTGAAGGTACCTTTGCTCTGGCCTTCCAAATTTGAAGGAAGCATGATTAGAGCAAAGCTATCCTAAGCTGGAAACAAGACTGATTTATAACTTTCTCTGCTGGATCTTTGCTATTTTTTTAATCACCTAGCTGACCTAGCACTAAATTAGCAAGCCCTAAAACTAAAAAAATAAGGAAAAAGACAAAGAAACAGAATGAGAAGGGAAGAGGAGAAGAGAACAGACCTGGACATTAGAGGAAGAGATTCAAATGTTAGCCCGTTTCCCTGCTGCTCTGCCTCTCTCACTGTTGCATAGCTAGGTGGAATGGCTTCAGATTCAATGGGTACAAACTCCTCTGCATTGGCTCAAGCTATGACACTACTTGAACTGATGCAAATGTATTTGCTTTCAAAAAAAGGAGAAGCCCCAGCAGGAGAAGCCCCACAGATGTGTGTGTGTGTCTGTGTATGCTGCATTGTGCAATTAGTGGAAAATAATGTGAATCTAACTGACTCAATCCTGGAGCATTTCTCATATTTGTCAGTTGCACCCTAAGTCATCCTCTCTGTTTCAAGCCATGGTTGGGAGGATAAAATAATCTCATCTAATTTGCTCTGAGTCTGTTTGGGGAAGAATGGCATATAAAACTGTAAATCATATGAATTACATACTAAAATGTTTTTCTAATAATATTTTCAGTAGTTCAGTATTAAAATTACAGTCTTCTACTTTTGAGTGTTTGAAGGAAATTCTTTTATCACGTGAGACTTTCTATAGGTTTGTGCAGCATGCGACCTGTGGCTGCTCTCTGTTTTGGACTTCTGGTCATGTCCAATGTGGAGGAGGGGCAAAATCCTCCAGCCTGATAACAAGCCTATAAGGCAGTGGTATGGCTCGTGCAGTTTCCAATGTGTTTGTGTGACTGCCAAGAAATGTTTATTTAAAAAACACAACAGCTGAAAATTGTAGGCAGGATCTGCTGTTGAAAATCAGTGGCATGCCTCCCCAGCAAAAATCAATGGCAAACCAAGAGTTTGCAGCTGCCTCTTTTTTTTTTTTTTTAAGATTGTCAGTATGGTTTATTAGGTACATATTCTTTAAGGATTGCTTTTTCTACCTGGATATGTACCAGGTTTTTTAGGTGCTATGCAAGTTCACTTTTCTTAAAAGTGCAACTGAGCATTCTCTAGGTCACACTCATTGTGTTTATTTATTTATTTATTTATTTATTTGATTTATATCCCGCCCATCTGGTATATTTATACCACTCACTTTATCACAGTGAATCCTTTAGTCTGTTTACACAAGTGTAAGTGCAGTGGTATAAATCACAGCGGTGAATTACTGTTAGTTAAGGAGTTGCCACTTGTACAGTGTTCCTCATTGGACATCAGATCGTGGGGTTCTGCCTTTCAAATAAATTCCCAGCATTTGCATGGGAGCAAAAGAACACAGGAAGCATTAGTGTCGATGTGTCTTTTGTCTAATCATAGAAGAGGAGCTAAAACATTTTAGAGAAGTCGCCTTTCTTGAGCTTGCTCTGTTCCTGCAAGGCAGTTGCACCCTTAATCACATAACTAGACCATTTGCTGAACTGATGTCTGAACCAGCACTGTGCTATGAGTGGGGAAGGACATAGAGAAGGATAGGTATTTTGTTGACTGATACCGAATCATTAGCTGCCGATTGGTGCCTGAACATTTATTACCGCTCCCTAAACTGTAACAAGAACCTTCTGAAGTAGTCCCCGTTGGCAGCTTACTGAAGTCAGATGACACAAATTGTTGTACTGTGGCTGTGCAGCACTGGCTCTGGCTTCTAGAGAACAGGAGCAATGCTGACAAAAAGCACACCTGCTGTATAGATGTGTCACCTTGGGCCGTTGCTGCAGCTGCCCTAGTGGAGTTGCATCTCATGATGATTTTGCATTAGCAGGAAGCACATGCATAAGCCCTAATCAGCATAGTCAGGGCTTGAAAAATGCACTCATCTGTGATGAGTGAAAAATGTTGCTCAGTGAGTCACAGCTCCCTTCCTGCCTGTCTCCTTCCCCCCGCCTCTCTCTCTCTCTCTCTCTCTCTCTCTCTGTACAGTCCTCCTCTCCCGCCTCCCATTGCAAAAGGAAAACTGCCCACTTCTCATGAGAAGCAAGTTTGAGCGGTACATAGAAATATAGCTATGTGGGAGAATGTAGAGCAGTCCCATGCTGGAGAATATGGAGATTCCCTGCTCCCGGTTTCAACCGAATGAGGACACATCCTGGGGTGGGAGGGAACCGTGTCTCCTTAGGAGGCCTGGCACTTTTGCTTTCAGTTTTATTTTTGCTGGAGACATTCCAAAGAAAAGCACTCAAAATACAAGCTTCATGGCCCCACAGGCATGCAGGTAATAAAGCAACCAGTGTCTGAGGATATAAATCAGTGATTCCCAATCCCAGTCATGCTGACTGGTGAAATTTTTGACTGACTGGTGAGACATTCTAAAATTTTTCAAGCCCTGAGCACAGTCAGTGTGAAAGCTGGTGTCAGTTGTACTCCGGTACAACCACATGTTGCCCACCTCTTTTTCACATGGTCTTTCAACCCTCAAGAGTAGTTTTAGGAGATGCAAGGGCACACGTGGGGGTGGGGAATAAATAGAGATAAGCTGCTTGTACTAGTGGAAAGTCATTGTTGGTTTACACTCCCTGGACTTCCATGTGTCTTTGAATGTAGATTATTTTTGTTTATAACTACCCTGTTTCCCTGAAAATAAGACCTAACCTGAAAATAAGCCCTAGTATGATTTTTTCAGGAAGTTCTTAATATAAGCCCTACCCCAAAAATAAGCCCTAGTTAAGTGAAAACCTGACCTCCACCACTGTGCAGCAACCAGTAGAAGATGGCATGACCGTATTTGAATAAATGTAGATTGTTGAACATGAAAAAAATAAAACATCCCCTGAAAATAAGCCCTAATGTGTTTTTGGAACAAAATTTAATATAAGACCCTGTCTTATTTTTGGGAAAACATGGTAACGCACTGGATGCAGGGCAAGTTGCATTCCAGCCCACACCTACGTTCCTACCTACCTACCTACCTACCTACCTACCTACCTACCTACCTACCTACCTACCTACCTACCTACCTACCTACCTTCCTTCCTTCCTTCCTTCCTTCCTTCCTTCCTTCCTTCCTTCCT